TGTGTGTGTGTGTGTGTGTGCGTGTAGAGATAGATGGATAGCTGGCTAGATAGAAGCGGATGGAAATAAAAAGGTAGATAATGATAGATAGGTAGATAGATTCAAACAGATAGATTGGAACAGTGATATATATATATATATATATATATATATATATATATATATATATATATATATATATCACTGGGTGTGTGTATGTATGTGTATATGTGTATACATATAGGTGTGTAAATATATATATGTGCGTATGAATATATATGGATATGCAGATGTCCTTGTGTGTATATGTATATATGTAAGTATAAGTATATATGAAGATAGGTATGGAGACATGTGGATGTGCGTTTCTCTGCAGGTGTGTGTGTAAAGATGGAAATATACATATGGTCGTTTCTGTGTGAATGTGTGTGTAGGTGTATATAGGAACTCATAGGCATATAAGAAGATATAGGTATGTGGTTCAAATAGGGTTTAAGATGTGTAGATAAGAAATTGTAAAAGAAGGACCTAATTTTCTGCTCGTGACATCTCTTCCAAATTTCTCCTCTAATATTCTCCAATTGGAAGTGAATTTTAAATAGCACGAAGGGAAAGTTTTAGATTGGTATTTTAATTGAGATTGAAAGACACTACCCCAGTGTGGAGAATAAAATTATTTAAATGGGAATAACTGTTGATAATTGGGTACATAAAAACAATCACGAGTTTATTTAATGAACAAAAATCAAAAACAATCACGAGTTTACTTAATGAACAAAAATCAAACGAATAGATGTCAACCTAACAAGCTATAAGATAACAGTTTTAGTGGAAAAAAAAAATTAAAAAAAATTACTAAATATAAAATGGATTGCTCTTTCAATGTTCTGTCTATGGATTTTTCCAATCGACTGTTTCATAGAAAATACCCAAAACTCCACCGAATTTCAAATTAATTTCTTCGTAGATTGTTTTAACATTTAGATATTTATCAAACCTTAACCTCCTAAATATGCACGTTAAAGTAACGCGAACTGACAGCGTCTAAGAATTTGAATGAAACCTGTCGTGTAATTTATTGGGGTTGTTGTAACGTCTTCCTTTAATGTCGTTCTTATCATTCACCCCTTAGCCACCTTTATCTAGAGACGAGACGCGTTAAATTTGAGCAACATCTAGCCGACACACTGGGGTTAAAATAGGAAACTAAAATGATACATATGACACACTCATATCCTCTCTCCCACCTCACTTCGTTAACTTTACGTATACTTGATGAGGTCCGTAAAAAACGTGTGAATTTCTTTTCATTTTTCATTTCAGCTTTTGGAAGTAAAGTCTGATGATCCAGAACCCTGTTAAAGGGGTTATGGTGAAATAACTTATTACATGGAATCTTAACGTGGTCTGTCTTTTATTCAAACATATCTGCTCTGAATTTTACATTGAGCTCTCTGGATATCATCCTCCTCAGGTCTACCCATACGGATTACCTAAATTTGCATAAACTATATATATATATATATATATATATATATATATATATATATATATAATTGTGTATTTTGGCAGCAATCCTTCTTTCATTCACATTTCATTGAATATGATAGACAAGGTGCGTGCTTTGATTTTGTCTCATATACAATTTCTCACGTTATCTAATAATTTTTCTTTTCAGATGATAAATTATATATAAACTGGCCGAATGTCTATATATATATATATATATATAGAGAGAGAGAGAGAGAGATATTCAGAGATAGACAGATTTGAACAATAATAGATTCAAACAGAGATAGATTCAAACGATGATAGATGGATAGATTCGAACAACGATAGATAGATAGATAGATAGAGAGATAGATAGATGACTGCGATATCTATGTTATTTACAAAGCTTATTACAGCTGAATGTAAAATTTTCAATCGGAGAGACTTTGCCTGCCTTGAAAATCATCATTCGATAATCTCGTTTCGGAACGCGATCTTTGATGCCGGCTGTAAATACGTACCTATGACATCCCCGCGAGAAGCTAACAACTTTTTACGTACCAAAAGATTATTTTTAGTCTTGAAAGAACTAAAAGAAAAAAAAAGAAGAAAATGTCGGAAACCCGCAGGAAAGAATGTCTATCTTCACCGTCGGGACGAAAGTATGGTTTTAAATCATGTCAAGGGTGGTGGACGGAGCCCCACTAAATCAAAACGAAATCTTAAAGAAAGGCTATAAGCCAAGCGTCGTATCGCAGACAAGAGTTATTTTGCTTTACTCGGTGAAACTTACACGTTTATCAGTAAAATGTCTCGCAGCTCTTTGCTGCTATCGTTTCAGATTTGAATTTTTTCCAGCTGCAGTTTAAACAGACGTTTAGTATTTGGAGGATAAATAAAGTTGCTTTAAAAACAAAATAAAAAATCGAAGTAACATCCTTCACTATGTTTTAACATGTTTCTTCTTCCTTATACCGTCTTCCTGATTTGATGCATACGAAGGAATCCGTAGAGCTTGTTTCTTGACTGG